AATACAGCACTACTGGCATTCCCAAACCTGAAGCTTACTTTTGCTCAGAGGCAGCGACACAAAATGGTGTACCACTTAAATCCCGTTTATACTCTGTTCTAGGGGTTTAATAGTGTGTGCATATTCTGCTCTTTTGGGGTGGAGGGTGAAGTTCATTCTAAAATGAGAGCAAAGTTTAAGGCAGGCTTGTTAAGGTAGGTGCCTAGTGGGATTTTTTTTTTAAATTGTATTGGTTCTTCCACAGAGTTACTTTAATGACTTCTTCATCATCTTACTGTAGATTAGATTCCTGATTCTGTGATATGCTGCTCCAGTCACAAGACCTGGAATTTTACAGTCACCTACTTAGGAATGTCTCTTTAAAAAACAAAAATACACACTTTATAAAAATCAGATACTTACATGAGTACCAGCAACCAACCGCTGTTGTGTCCTGACTCTGGCCATTATTTTTGTAATATATGTGCTATAAGAGTACAGGTGAAACAGAAAGGCAGAATTCACAGACTTTAAAGTATGCATGCAACTAATGCCAACTTCCTTTGAACAGTCTCAAAGTCTATGAATTAGCCACAGAAATTTATGTCAATTATAGAAAATAATGAATTGATGACTTTTTTAGAGAGATATATTCATGTGATGTATTCCCTAACATTTACAGTCAAATGTGTAGTAACCTTATATAATAGAAAAAGGTGTTACAAATTATGTTACAATCTCATATTGACATGCTGTACTTTATAGGCATAATTTTCATGCTAAGGAGACGACTTGTTCTTTAGTCTAAAACATTTTATTTTAGGAACACATGTCATGAAAAGAATCACTAAGTAAGTGTAGTTGTAACTGTGTTGCTAAAATTGCAGCGTTTCACACTAATTAGAGTATTAGAAGTATACATGTCAGAAATTTAATACTCCGATATAAGGCAATGTGAGATACCAAACTGAGCAAGTGTTCCAACAGCACGTTTGGAGGCTTTTGAGAAAAGCATCCAGATCCAATTGGAACTATTTATTCAGGTCTGTAGAGTTTCCTTTTTACTTTCCTATATACATTACCAGATACTTTAGGTTTAAAACATTCCCCCTTCTCATTGTTTGAAACTGAAATGTAGGGGGCTTGGGGGTTTTTTAATATCCTGATGCTTCTCTGGCTCCATTTAAGTCAACGGCAAGTAATTCTTATAATAAAATGAACAGTATTAGTTATAATTCTGGAACAATGACTTAGTAAAATGTATGCTTTTCTATGCATCCTTTTAGCATATAATCTGACATTTTTGCTGCTTATATAGTGACTGAACTATTTCTTTTAATACCATTTCTTATGTCTATAGATATGGTTAAAACTATGTAGACCTTAGACTCTAATAAATACATAGTGCGTATTGTATGAATATTTCTTGCTTGTAGGAAGCAAGACAGTAGCTTACAGTTTAACAGTGGGTGCATTTTTGGGTGAAATTCAGTACTGGGAAGGGCGCCAGTTCCCGGTGATTTCATTCTTCAATATAGAACATTAGTGCAGAAATCTTGTGCTAGCCAAGGGAAGCCAACCCTCCTGACACTAATCATCCAAAATGGCTCTATGGCTAGAAGCCACGAGACGTTGAGTACGCAGCCCGGGGTGCTGGGCAGAGGGGAAGCCCAGGAGCAGGTAGCAGCTGGCACCAGTGCCTTGAGTCGAGGGAGGACTGGTGCGGGGGAGGGCTGGGCAAGCGGCTTGCTGGCCCTAAGACACTGCCAGCTCCGGCAGCCGGTGGCCCACATTCCCCCACAGCCGAGCTCCTGCGTGCGTGCTCTCAGCAGGGCCGTTGTGCTTGAAGTGGTTTGGGAATCACGGGTTACCTTCCCTGGTTCTCATCCTGTAAAAAAAAGTAATATTTCACTCATGTACCCTGTTGTAATATTTGTGTTACTGCAATGTAAGGGCTCTGTTTATTCAGTTTCCCTCAAGGTGCTCTGTGCCAGGACAAGAAAGCATCAAACCATACTTCAAAACTCAGTCAAATATATTTCACAGAGAAATAGCCTGTGTTAAAACTGCGTAACGCAGCTTAATGCGCCTTTCTAAATAATGACGATCCTGAGCGTGGTAGAGACAACCTCTGCTGAGAAGCTGGAACACCATGACTTGTCCTGCCAACTTACAGACCTTCTGTTGTTCAGAAAAAGGGTGGAGTTAAAAACACAGGCAGTAAGGATTTCTCCTTTGTCGTTAGTCCGTGAAATACCTTAGAATAAGTCTGATCTCTTAAGTTTAGTCCCCTCAAAATAACTAAAGGAACAGTAACTGAAATTCAACAGAAAAATAGATGTCATGTTTTAAATGTACTTTTCTCAGCATTGTATTCAACATTCAGGTTAGCAGCTGAATCTCCTTCCACACCAGTCAACGAGTTTGTAATTCACTTCAATATGAGACTGCACAACTGGAACCTTGGCTGCATCTTCCTACCTTCAGTTGAGCTATTTCTTTTCCATGTCTTAAAGTTATTCTAGTTGGAAGTTAGTTGGTTTCTCAGTGTGTCATGATGGAAAAGGTGCAGAACACAAAATAAGGAAGAAATAAATTGTTTTTTTTTCTCTGTCCAAGCTAAAGAGTTTCAAAGCAGGATTTTGGGCTTGAGAAGAAGTATAGTGTGACCACAATGTTTTCCGGTTGCCAAGCCCTGTGGTAGATTCTGTATTCTTGTTGTGGTGACCAAGTAGGTTCTGACACCACAAGTAAATGTCATCTCTACAAAACTGAATAATTCTAAACTCAGCATGATAGTTAAAGCTCTTGGCTTTCAGAAAACTGGGACCTAAGCAACAAATCAACCAACCTATTTTATTTTTGATTCAGTGCCATGACGTTGACTAGTTAGAATCTTACTTTTTGTGCAGTCATAAAATTCTTTCATGCCACTCACTGCTGTGCACTGATGCTGTGAAACGCAAGAGAATTCCAGGCACATGTAAGAAAATACCAACTTGCCACGGAAGATTTATTGGTGAGGCAATGGTCAAATTGTTTCTTTATACGCAATTTTAAGCCTGGAACAGCTTCCTTGTCTCCAGCAGATGAGAACAAAATCTGGTTCATTTAATCTAATTTTGTCTCCACCAACAGATCCTTCTCTCTAGTTCTGGTCTGCAGAGCTGATTTTTATAATGGCTTCAATATGAAAAAAAAAATATTAAAAATCTCAGCATAGACAGCATCCAATATTTCCTCTGGACGTTTTGTAATTCCCGCTGTTAACCAGTAATTACGCAATTTTTTTATTTTGATAGTGACGCCTGGAATACTGGAAGATCTCACATTTACTCAGACAAAATTATTTATCTTGGTATAACAGGATCAGCTTCTCAGCTGGGGCTTCCGGATGCTACTCTACTACAAACAAAATTTAAAAAAAGGGCCGGCTGAAATTAATAGTATATTGGAGACATGTCATTACTCTCCTTGCACACGGAAGAACATGTTGAGGATATTCAATCAGAACACAATGAATTGAGAAAAATTTATTTTTCCATTAATATCAAACACATTAGAATGCAGCTATCACTAGAAACCAGCAGTGCTTCTTAAAATATTGCTCCAACATTCGGAATGGATGGTTTTCCGTGTGGCTCCGCAGGCATGCTGGCTCCCCCTTCTCTTGCACTGCAATACGTAGGAAGCTGTTATTCCCAAACGGAGCGTTTGCTTGCTGACATCACATGCCGTAGGATCCTTTTGTTTGCCTGTGTCTCCTGCATTGAAATGTTGGTCTGAGTCACAAATCCCGCTGCATTTCTTCCTCTGTGTCATGCTTGCTTGAGAGCTTCTCCCTGACTCAGAGTTTTTAAATTTTGACACAGCCCAGTTTGCTGCATGGCAATTGAATACTTTTCCCTTTAATATTTTATTATGTAATTTGTATCTAAACACTGTAATATTCTAAAAATCATTACCACTTTTTTTTTGCAGCTTTTTTAAATAGAGAGGTTTTGTGACTCAGATGCAGCATTGAATTTTGTTTCAAGGCAAAGTCAGTTTAGTGTTACTAAAATTAAAAATTAAAGATAGTGACTCCCACAACTTGAATTCTCCGTTTAGCCTGCTGGCTGAGTTTCCTCAGCTATAACATTATCAAGCACTGTGCCAGAAAGGGGTCACATGTGTGCATGTGTACAGACAAACGCTTCTCATCATTGAGGTAATTATTATTTTGCACTGCAGTACCTTTCTTCTCCTCTAATAATCCTATCAATTTGTTTTCTCTTAGTAAAAAGAGGATAAATCCCTGCTCTGTTTGCAGTGTACGTTCGCTCTTTCATCTGGTTTAGATTCTGGAGCTGCTAATATACTGCTGGTGCCCAAGAAGCCGGGGTTTCCTCTTTATTAAAGCCATGAACAAACCAGATCCTGATTACAGAATCTTCATTCCGAATGCTTTGGTAAAGAAAGAACAGGGAAGCTAAGGCCTATGCAGAGGTTTGGTCCACACTTGAGTCATGGTAACGTATTCTTACTGACTAAGACAGGAACATAAAATTACCAGGCTGGATTAAATCTTTCATCCTTCAGATCTAGTCTTTCATCTCTATTGTTACCACTGCAAGATAACTGAGAAGTTCAAACCAGTGCTTTCCCTGTCCTTGATCAAGGACTTTGCAGCAGGTAAGGGCTGATGCCCCAGTCTGGCATAGCACGTGTTTGTGGGAAAGCATCCATCAGCAGCTCCACTGCCTTCTGCCCTGGTCTGAGGCACGTGAGCAGATTGCTGCATGAAACCTTGTTAAAATTCAGCCACACACAAAACCAGAGGAGTGATCAAACCTGTGTCATTAAATGTACTACACTAGATGCTTGCATTTCATTGTTTTCTTTTACCCACAGTAAAAGAAGTAGTTGTATTCTCCATCTTCCCCAAAAAAGCTGAAGCTTCTTGTTACAGAAAACATAGATTTTTATTATAAAGTAAAATTATGCCATACACAAAGGAATCTCCTGTGATGGAAATTTGCATTTTGCAGTCTTAATGTTAAAATAATGTCCAGAACAGGTACAGCCTCTCAGGCTACCTTTGGTTGCACGTTCACTATGCATGTTCTCATGCAGCACACATTTTTTAACATTCAACTTTTGAATCGCTATCACTTTTCCTCTTCTCTCCGTGGCCGCTTGCGAGGGTTCATCTCAGTATATTCTGCATTTTGAGTGACAGCTGGAGGCTGCACGTCTCGGAAGCCATGAGCCTGTAACATGTAAGCAAAATCATGTGATAACACTTCTGTGGATATAAGGCATGAGTAACTAGTTCCCAGAAGATCAGAATAAGGTATGATGCAGTCATTTATTTTAGATGAGCAGCCACAGAACGTTTATAGAGCAGGCTAAGCTCAGAACTGCAAGCTTTTCAACACACGTGCCAACTAATAACTGTGTCTCCTCATTTTATTTTTTTCTAAAGATATTTTATTTTCACCAACCAGATTATCATTTTCATTTTACCACTAATAACCCCCATGGCTACGAAGCACTGCTCTGTAAATTAACTTATGTTGCCTATTTAAAGAAATTAAAAGCCAAATCCTTCAGCTCTTATTCAAGCTCCCACAGAAGCAAGGAGATGACTGGATTAATTGCCTAAGTCATTTTCAGAAACACAATTGTGACTTTCTAAAACCTAGGATATTTTTGTTTCATGTATCTACTTAATGAACTGAAAACATCAATGAGACATTGTAAGTGAACAGCGTATCTGAATCGGTCTCTAGACTGCAAAGACTGTCCCAGCATATAATTTATGGCACACAATAGGACGAGAACCTTTAACTGCCAAAAACTAAATGTAGAAGTGAAAACTAGAAGCTGCTACTCAGGAGAGAGCTTCAAGTGATCTATGTGGCTTAGTACCATTCGTCTTTTCTGTTACCTTAGCTCACAATTTAATGATTTTAGAAGATTTTAAAATACGAAAGATCTGGAAAATCAGTTAGTTAAACATGTCATTAATGCAGATGGAGATACTGAGATGTGAAGAGATGTGAAGCCTGCAACTGTCTGTCTTCCCATCTCCAGAAAATGCTGTGCAGGGAGCACTGCTGCTGCAGGGAGCTCAGTGAAGACTCGCTGCAGTGCAGACTTAAGAGAGGAAAGGGGGTTCATCCGAAAAAGAAATTGCTTTGGGGATTCTGAACGCTCAGGTAGATACAATGTGGGGATGGGAGCATTTCAGGAAAGCTGACATTTTAGGTTGGTGCAGTATGAAAAAGAAGGCAGAATTACTATCAGACATGTGACTTTTCTAAAATCCCAGTGTCCCACACCAAGATCAATGCAAAACAGAACAAAACCCAATCAAAATGTTTTGCTTAAGTCTCCCATCTCTTTATTTCTATTTCTAAATGCCTCACCTCACACAGCCTGCAGTTTTTAAAGGAACAAACAGAAAGAGGTGCCACAAGGGCAGAATTTCTGCAGTCCCTCTGCTCTTATAAGCAACTCAAGTGTTATTCTAAATAGCGTAATGGGGAATCTTCAAGCTTAGTGTTTAACTGCTGCTTGCATCTAATCTCCGCCATTTCCCTGAGGCACAAAGGTGGATCTGGAGCCAAGAATCCACTTAATCCAGCATGCTAGACTTCCAGCAAAAGCATTCCAATCGTTATAAAGGCCAGAACGTGATAAAGTAGGCTGCTTAGTATGGATGTTTTGCATCTAGTTAAAGGCATGTACCTTCTGGGCATAGCACCTTGAAAATACAAGAATTTTGTGTGTATTTATGAAGCTTGTTAGTGGTTTTTAGATGGCAAGAATGTGGCTAATGGAACCAAGAACCTATAAAGCCCAGTTAGTCTGTGGTCATTTTGAATTGTTCCTTAATGTCTTCTTGCATCTACACACTGCATCAAGATTGACAAAGGCTTTGTTACTTGAGCAGTGTTGTCATTGCTAGTCTGGCAGACCCTCCACAGTTCAGGGAAATACTGGCAATTCCTACCCAGAATATAGGTCCTGGGTCTCCATCTTTCACGATGAAATAATCAGGTCACATTACCCGGGAAACTCAGGTGAATCAGATGATCTACTTACTCCCTTGTGCATAAATCAATTTACATTTCTATACTCTGCATTTAAGAATGAATCCTTCTCAGCCTGTGAAAGAAACTGTTTCATTCGATGGGTGTTCCAGAGCTTCCACACTTGCAAGTGGTGACTGACTTGCCAGTACACCAGAAAGGACACAGCTGAAAAAGAACTACAGCTTGGTCACTAAGTTACACGCTTCTCCATTAGCTGAGAGGCACTGAACAGCCAGTTTGTCAACGGTACCAAAGCACGTAACTTGCAAAAGCCTAAACAGCTTTGAAGATCTAGGCTTGAGGAATTTATAATTTAGTTGGTTTTTGCGGGTTTTTTTTGTTTTTTTTTTTTTGGTATGCTGGTTATACATAGATGTGCTAGATCAGATTTGGAAGCACTGAACATGTATTTACATCTTCCAGTTTAACTACTGAGATGGGCATGACAAACGATAATAGCAGACTGTTACCATCAGACCTGAATTTCATGAAAGAAACAGGGATAATACATTTTTTACTTACAGAAACCATCTGCTGAAGCAGCTCAACAGGATTAAGTGAAAAAAATACAGGGATAATCTTAAATTTTAACTAATCTTTGATTAGGATACGCTCTCAACTGTATTTCAAGATCGTGTGCATTCACACAGAAGAAGACAGCATAGCTGCTTTATAATGCATATAAAACTGAAAGGAAAAGGCAATTAAACTGTCTAAGATAAAATCCATCTGTTTGTCAGCTGGAGAGAAATAGCTGCGCACTTGCATCACATGATCCAAACAACCTTGGCATGTAATCCCACTTATGCTTCCAGCCTTTACAGAACTAAGAAATATATTTGCAGTATTTCTCCTGTCCAGGTGACTATACTCAGGAGTGAAAAAAAATCTGATTTCTGTTCAATAGTTTGAAGACCTCATCTTCTGGTAGTATTAAAACCTGCAGGAACTGCTATGGCAATGTGTTTCCATGAGGACACATAGCAAATAGTTATGGCATGTACCTATGTATGTGAAATTTGAAGATTTAAGTGTAGAGCGGTGGGGTTTTTTTAAACCTAAATAGATCTTAGACAGTATGTATTCTCAATAATATGTATCTAAGCACTCCACAAAAGAAAATAATCACAGGATTTAACTAGGGATGAATAAGGACTCCAGCACTAAGCTGGAAGCTTCTCATATGATAGTGACAGAAGAGAAAAATCTGTATATATTGGCTGGTCATAGGGTCACCAGTAGGACGGAGCTATGAAAGGGATAAACACAACCGAGGTTATATTGGGCAACATACTTAAAGGAGAGATATGGAAATACGTATGGCACAAAGCACTGGTGAGACCTCTGGAATACCATGTATGACTCTGGTCACCCTTGTCCTAAAAAGATAAAAACTCAAACGGAACAGATGCAGAGAAGAACCACTCGGGAAACAACGACCTACCTGACAAAGGAGAAAACAGCTTGGCTGTTCAAGTGTCCCAAAACGAAGGCTCAGGGAGTGCATGAGTGTTCTTTGTAATTGCACTTAGGCCAAAAGTTAACACCAAGGGCAGATAAATTAAGCAGTACTAGCACAAGAACAGATGGGGACAGGCTGCCTGTAAATTTGATCTGGAAATCACAATATTTTAACTCTAGGAGGGCTAACATGCTGCGTCATTTTTCTAAAGAGAAAAGGTGCAAAACATTCATAAACCTGGAGAAATCCCAGTATTACTGGCTACCTAAAAGGCAACTGAAAGGCAACACTAAGAAAGCAAAAAGCATTCTCAGTTTTGTCTCTGTGACTGAAAATTCCTTTACAGCTAACAATTTGCTCCCATCTCTGTATCTCCCTCCCAAAAGAAATACTAACTGTAATGTGATATGGTATGGTCGACTCCTTCTGACTCGGTGATTTGTACAATGTTGCCAACCTGTTTAAAGAAATAACAGATAGCTATGATTAGTGAATACAATAATAAAAATTCCAAGCAACCAAATGACCAGACCCAAGTTTTCCCCACAATCATGGGGTAGGTGAGCAGTGGCATTCTTATATAGGTATTTTCATATAGGTCATTTAAAATGTGGATGCCAAATTCCCATCCTTACATGACCTGTCAGCTCAAATATCATGTAGACCTACTAAAAAGAGTGAATGATTAATTAGCCTTGTTTCATCACAGTATTTGATCACATTTTTGGAACAATATTCATTATGAATTAATTCCAAACGCCACTTTCTTAAAACACAAACAAAATGGGTTTTGAGCACAATTCTATCCTGCTCCATTAAGCAATCATTTGTTCATTGACCTCTCAAAGCTGGGAGATACCCTCAAGAATTCAAATACTTCTAGGGAGGGTTTTCTTCTAGAGGTTTCACAAGCCTGTCAATTTAACCTCGTGGATGGAGAATGAGAATAAGATGTCCCATTTCTAAGCCTGACCTTGCCACTAACATACAACATAACCTTGAGGAAATCGTTGCTCTTTTATTTCTCCTCTAACATTTCCTTGATTTTGTGCATTTAGACTCCAAGCAATGCATCTTATAGACAGAAGATTGCAAAGCAGCTCAAAAGTAAGGGGTTTTTCAACCAGTCCCAGGGCTGCTAGTCTGCACCATGCCCACCTCCCCAAAATTTACATGATGTAAAGCCAATATACAAAGTGTTCTGCTCTTTGTATCAAGACACCCTGCCAAAGATCCTGTTAATTATTTTGGGGCTTTTTTTTTCCCTCCCTGAGGTGCCATTCTATTAGAGAGCACGTAATTACAGCCTGAGGAACACTGCCACTTCATATTAGCTACACAGGGAATTCCTCAGAACATTTAGGTGGTGGGTTATACTTTACAACATTGCCTAAATCTGAAGCTGCAGAAGCCATGCTTTTACAAGCGCTCAGCTGGAGCTCTGCTGCATGCCTCTGACTCAACATCTTTCCTCGCAGCAATGAGAACCCTCATATTTAAGTGCTGATGGTTTCGGTAGTAGAGAGAAAGAGACAGGTATCATATATGGTACAAGCACAATTTAAAAAAAAAAAAAAAAGGCAAATGGATTCTCAGTCATCTGTGTGCCTCAATAACTTAATATAAAAACAAGAAGCACACAATGGATCATCAGGAATAGGCAGTTCATATAAAAATGCAACAGAATTCAGCTGTTTCTGCTTTTTGCAGATAAGCCATTGTAACTGGACTCACTATGCTTCTGCAGGCCCCGCTCCGTATTAAGACCAGTAAATAAAACATGTTTGTCCATCTTTGGCTTGCTCTCTGGAACCCGTATCTACAACCTCCCTAGCTGTGTCGCAGAAGAAAAAAGCTTTTTACTTTTGATATATAAAATTAACTTTTGTTCACTCTGCAATCATTATGTTGATGCAACTTCTGTCTTATAAAGGCTGTTAACTAATCAGTGATGTTAATTTCATTCCAAATTAAACAGCCTGCTGTAATCATTCTGCATTGCCTTCAAACTTAAAATTTAAAAACAAAACTCCCCAAGAAAGTGTCACTGCATTTCTCTTTCAAGTTTAACACGCAAAACTATGCGCAACAACATTCCAGTAGCATTTTTATTCACTGTTCGCAGAAGATTAGGGAATTGAAGCAAGGCTTCTTAATCTCAAGTTGCTGCATTGTGATACCATAGACAAGACAAATTTAACTGACCAGGAAAGAGAAGTGAGCTTGCAATATAGTGAAGAGGGAAAAAAGAACCAGGAAACAGAAAAGATCTCATTGCAAGAGGCACAACTTCATACTGGTTTTAGACGTGTCATCTTCATTTCTTTGGGCTTCTAAAATCATCTTCCATAGGTCAAATCTGCATTGGCCGTAAACTCAGCTCTCTTACTACCTCTCTGCAGGTCATTGTAACTTGGTATCTGCATCACCAGCCAGTTGTGCAGAACCATCCTGCTGCATTCAAAAGCAGAAAGGTCCAACGGCTGCCACTGAGGCTCCGGGGTCAATAGTCTGTCCTGAGAATCACTGTCTAGGAGAAAAGTCTTCTTTGGCACCTTTGCCTTTGTACTGACTGGGGCCTAAAAGACTGAAGCAAAGAAATTCTACTCCCTGCTTACAAAATGCAGATAGTAAAAAAAAAAAAAAATACTTAGCCACCAGATCCTAAATTCTTGTGTCTGAGCAACTGCCATTAGGATATTATATTTTCATGAGACATGGCATCTTGTCAGAAAGAAAGTACAGCACTGCAGCAAGCTGACCATGGTGGAAAAGAAAAGCATGACAGTTCAGCCCACGCTGTCTTAGGCTGAACTAAAACGCTCTTCTTGAGCCTCAGTAGCCTGGGACACGGCAGACCAAGGCCAGAAGTCAAATTCAAATCCCTGCTTGGCCACCAAAGCCGCTCGGAGAAAGATTCTCAAATGTCACGCTTGTCAGTGCCATTATGTACCTGGGTTTCCACTTACCTCTGACTGTTGTCCCAGTGAAGGATTAAACGGACAGTAGCAGCATGTCCCCAGCTTTCTCCTGGGTGACACAAAATGACAAGCCACTTTATTTATCTCCTATAAAAGCAGCAGCATCACTAAACTGAGCTGAAATTAGAGCAGTCTTCCAAATAAACTCCATGATTAAAGCATATACACCTCTCTTTCAGTAATGAATCACATCTTTTGCTTATGTGCAAGGATTTCACAACTAGTTTATCAAATATACTGAGACAAGGAATAACCTCTGTATTCGCAGTGTGTTTTATGGAAAGCTTCATGCAATGCTTCCATATTTGTAGAAAGGTTTTATACACACCTAATCACTGACAGGCACCAGACAAATCTTGAAAACAGGGACAACATAAAGAAAAGATTTTTCTAATTACTACTGAAGAAGTCTACGGAGTATGTCTAAATCCTACTTCAAAATTGCGATATGCTGTCTCTCAGGCATAATTATGAGCAAACATCACTCCCTTTGGGATACAAGCTTTGGGAGAAAACCAACGATTATTAAAGCATTAAGGGCCCCTGAAGCAGTCTTCTGCTCCTGACAGCAAAATGCAAAAGAGCACAACCAAAAGCAAAGGGTGAGGGGGTGTGGTGGAAAGAGAGAAGGAAGTGTCGGCTTTTATCCTATTTCAGGGGAAACAGTCCTACTGTTTCGGTTCACACCTGACCCCAAGCTCAGTCTTACTGGGTGTTTTCCTCTGTTTATCCCAGGAGACAGTCAGCAGTCCAAAGATGGATTGCATTTTAAAACAGCCATTTTGGTTAAGTGCTGAAAGCCTCTACTATTCACCTGCACACAGCCCTGTAACTTCTGAGTCACTTGTAGGTCTCCATCATGTCACCAGCCCCACATGCCCCATGTGCTCTGGTATTCATTACAGCACAGAGAAGAATTAAAAAAAAAAGATTCAACTGTAATGAAGATCTAGACCTTCTAGGCGTCTTGCCAGACCTTGCTCCACTATATCTAAGTTGAGATTAAAGATTCTGGCTATCAGATACGGTTCCGAATCAGAGATCAAAACACATTTTACAATGGGTACAAACTCCACACCAGAATGTTTCCAACTATCAAATATGAAAGAAAAATGCTACTGTAAAATGAGATATTTCTGAGTTAAACTGGCTGTAGATTAATATTTGACCTCCTTTCTAAATATATCCAGTAGAAATGTCTAGGAACACCCAGCTTAACTATCACCAGTGGGAAGGAAAGCTGTCCCCTTCACAAAGCTCTTGACTTAATACCTTGCAGCATCTGTCCTTTTTTTTTTTTTTAATAATTAAGAACTTCCCTTCTGCTAGGAAGCTGAATAAGAGTTTAGAGATTAATGCGCTTGTGAAATCTTAGAAAAGGCTGTTTCTAAAGCTTACCAATTAATGGGGAATAAAACTTATTTATGGGAGGCAACAGGACTGATTTTACTTGGGGTTTTGCTGCTGACCCCAGTTCCTTTGGCTACAGCAAACTATGGAGGAGTAAGAGGTTCTTTAGCCTATAGGATAAGACTGTTGAAATAGCATCCCTTCAGGATGGGTTGTAAAAATCACCTTGTAATCCACCAACTCAATACTTGCACTGAGTCTATGGAATAAATTCACATCTTGGTACCACTCTGAAATGCTCAACTTGAGATATCACTGTTTAGGACGAGGGGATTATCTCTTAGCTTAAATATTTAACCAACTGGTACAAATTTTCATTTTTGCAAGAGAACACACTACTCAGTTTAACACCACTATGTAGTTACACACACATTCTGGTGAGAGTCATAATCAGTTTATGGTCCATATGAGGTTATGTCAAATTAAATGTTTGTAAAAGAAAATGTGCACAAGACAATACATGGTATCTTTGAATTATAACCTATTCTGAATGTCTTCACATTCTTTACTGTCCCTATGACTCAATAAACACAACAGCTCTCAAACAACACTGGCTACTAAAAAAAGACAGAATCTATTAGCTTTAATTGAGTTTGTAGCCAGAAAGGCTGCCAAAAATAATACATCAGAGAGCAAGAGGTACAAATGACAAAAAAGGTCAGACACTGGAAGCTGGGTCTTTATCTGCATGCACAGCTCAAAATTCCACATTCTCCACATTCTCGGAAGGAGACTGTCTGTATTTGTTCAGTTTATCTTACATCTGTGCCAAGTGGTTCAATGCCTGTACAGACACTGAGAACATCTTTGTCCTGTCCCCTTCTCCTCCCTCCCCTCCAGGACAGGGGAATATTACTTAGTTCACAGAAACTGAAGCTGTGAACAGAGAATTTGTGCCCTTTAAGTGCATCATGAAATAATATGAAGTTACAATCTGAAATAAGGTTTAAACGCTGAGCTTTTTCTTAATTTGTCAAAATCTCTGCTTCAGAGGAACTCTTCTATTTTCCCCTGCGACCACAGCCCAAGAGTCCACATGAGGTACTCTGTTCATCACAAGGCGAAACGTAGCAGCCAGTAAAAACCACTTCAACTCGCCATGGGCCAGCTGTAGTTGAGGATCCCACACAGAACTTCCCTCTACATCATTACTGGAGAGAGCAGCGGGTGGAGAGTTCCAGCTATGCAGCAAATATGAAACACCTCTGCAAATAATTAATGGAACGTGTTCACGCGTAATGGCAAAATAAACAACTTACACTGTTTTGGAGAGGCAGTGAATGATTCTCTGGGAATTTAGGAAACTGCAGCATAGTTTGAGGTGTGCAACCATTATGCTGTTTTCTTCTGTTGGTGCTTTAACCTGTTCATCACCACGTTCCTGCTAGAGGTTTACTGCCTCCAGCTCCATCTCTACATTTTTTGTATGATCATTCATCAATCAATTTCAGTCTAAATTACTTGATTTATCAGAGTTTCACTTATTATTTAAATGGCTCAGGCTTACCTGGCCCACTTTTGGCAGAAAGGGATTGGGAGACAATCACATAAACAGCTCAGCCAGCATACGGGATGCGGCAGTGACCTCCAGCATGGGTGGTGGCCTCCTTAGCTGACACAGCTGCAGCTGGAACTCCACAGCCCAAGATCCTCAGGGGAAGGCTGCAATACATTAGCTGCAGGTCTAAAAACCTAGTTACTCAGAGAGTTCTTAGTACCTAATGCTTCCCCATAAAGGGTGATTCAGTCACCTGAAAGAACACTGATAGATCTAATATCAAGTTTAGTATTAAAAATTTTGATTTACAAGGGAAAAAAAAACCATCCAGCAACACTCTCAATCTGTGAGTTTCTCCAATCTGAAAATGTCATTATTTTAAAAATATTTGTCATCCCTTTTCAAAAACCTAACCAGGCTCCTAATCTGCACACCATGTTTGAGTTTAGAATAAAATTTGATAGTTGTAATTATAATTACAATGCTGACATAGATAAGCACTAACTGCCACAATGCTAGCAGTTCCAGAAGGGTCTAATAGTCTCACCATGGATTCAGCACACAATTTCATCTTCTTTGTACATGATGCCAAAAGAAAGGAAATCATAGATTTGCAGATTAATTCAGTTTTCAACTCACAAGCTGAACACCTACCTAAAGCAGGTACCAATGTGGACTGATTTTGTCCAATCCTTGTTGTCATTTGGTTTGTCAGAACTACCTAAAAGAGGAAAGAGAAGCAAACAAACAAGAAAATCTCCAGAAAAGCAGCATACTGGTGGGAGGGAAGAGAGGGATTTTTCAAAAAGCTTTTGCCAATAAAGTAGTGACTCTGGCAAAACTCTTGCCTACTGTAATGAAGCTTCTGTGTTAACAAGAAGAAACTGTAAAGGTGCCTCATCTTTTCTCAACAGTCAAAACAAAATAAGAGAACCCTGCAAAACGTATTTTCAGTTGGCATGGAAGGTAGATACCTTTCATTCAAGACTTTGAAGAAACCTAAGCTTCTCCCTTTCCAAGGGATACAAACTCTACATAACTTGCATATTCCACCATATTTGTACTAAATACTATTTGGCTCTGTATTTAGATGCACATGACTTATACTAGCCCTCTAGGAAGAGACAGATTTCAGTCACTGTGGTATAAATGAACTTGGTGGTGCTGCTCAAAGCATGCAGAAGCCTAGTGATTAACAGAATTTCTGCACCTTGTAGTCTAAAAACACGCAAGTGGGTACAATACAAAGCAGAATGAAAGTGAACAGACAGAGCGGGGGAGTGTTTTCGCAGCACAAATCACTCGTAGGAGGTTCACAGACAGTCTAGGTTAGATCCCTGGTAGAAGTGGGGGTGGGTGAGACAGAAAAGAGCCAGGAATATTAATTGCAAAGTTCATTAAAAATGAAAAATAAAAACTTGTACCTACCATAAACCCTAGGGGGTTTCATTGTTTGACATGCTTGTATGAGCTTCAACAGTTAGAAAAGTGTGCTAGAGCAAGCAATTCCACTGAGCACACACCAGAACATTTACACAGCTGAGAGCCCCAAGACGTATATTGCATATTTTAAAGAAGTAACTCATCATATATGGATGATAACAGCCCCAGATAGGTTCCCCATCTCACTGCTGGAGAAGGGCTGGTCTGGGCAGCCTCGCACAACCCACTGGGTCCAGCTTTAGAAACTAAAGAACTTACTTCCCACCATATTAGAGCATCCAGGCTGCCCAGCTTCGCTGCCCAACAAGCAATCTCTGGCACGCCAGCTGAATTTAGACTGCTTGCAAGCTACATGGAACTAACTCAAAAACTGGCAAGAGGGCCACTCTGAGCTAAATCATTTCTGAAGTCCTGTGACTGATCACTTCTTTAGCAAGTGTTTATTCAGCAAGCGTTTGTGCTGAACTGCTCACTTGTTCAACAGAAATAAGTTATATATGTTTCCCTTGACCAAAAAGAAAGAAAAGGCTGTGCAAGGACAACTGCTCCTGTTCAAGGTCACCAGGCGCTCGATTTATGAGTGAAAGCACTCAGTAGACTGAAGGCTGTGCAAATCAAGCAGTCATGTAACATTCATCTCCCCTGGTGCCCACAACAGCAGGAAGAAGCTCCATAATTCATGTCAGGGAGAGAGCCAGGGTTGGCTTTCAGCAGCGAGCACAATCTCGGAGCCCAGGCGGAACGCAGAGCTGTGCTCCCTTCCTGCAGCTATCGGAGGAAGCACAAGGAGAGGCTTATTTTTAGCAGTCAGGAACAAAAGCCAACTGCGCAAGAGAGTTGCGGGTGACAAGGTTGCAAATCACCTGGAAACACTTGCAGGGACAAGCACCATTTTGAGACTGCGTAAGCTCTAATTCCTCAACAATGCTTTTCTGGGCTGCAAAGGACTTGCCAAAACAACTTCTGGAATAGAGGCAGTTTCTGAGTGCCACCTGCTGGCTACGCGGCCGCAGACTTCCCGGCCTCCATATTGGTGTAAATGACATAGAAACAATGCCCAGGAAGGAAGCTATGGGTTTCCATGGATGCCAGAGGAGCAGGCCATACTAGCAGATAAAGTGGTTTTGCTCCCTAAGACTGTAGTTTATTTTTAAACAAAGCGTGGAAAGTCATGCTGGAACTCCTAAATACCCTGATGTATTTTAACGTCCGTGCTTTGTAAGTAAAAGTCACCAAAGGAGCAGTCCTTGTCCAGCCAAATCATTAAAGAAGATGATGTGAAACAGCACGACCAATCGATATGCTACCGTTTAATTATGATCCACAGGCTACTTTTAATGCAAATTTTACTTATTTTGGCAAGTCTAGGACTTTTCCACCTAAACAGTTTTGCCCGGGCAATCCAGATTCATAGAATGGTTTGGGCTGGAAGGAATCTTTAAAGGTCATCTAGTCTGACTTCCCTCCAATAAGCAGGGAAATTTTCAATAGATCAAGTTGCTGAGAGACCTGCTCTGTTTATTCAGACCAATTTAAATTTCCCAGACTGTTTCCACTTCTTCTGAAGATAAGTGGAGGTTAAATTTTCTTAGTTTTGTGATCATTGATGCCATCTATATTTACTAGCCAAACTGGCAAACACGAACGTAGAGGACATTCTTGCAGTTTTCTTTTGCTATTTACAGACAATCACAAATCACATTTGCTTAACTCTTTGTAATGCATTTATTCCAAAGTAACACCTTGTGGGATTTAAACCTGCCCCAGACTCACCGCTGATTTATGATCGTTTGCTATGATGATCAGCTGTTGCACCAGACCGTTCAAAAGCCTTGTCCGATGCGAGAGGTCCTCAAAGACATGGCGAAAAGGAAATGCAATTCCATCAACTACCACCAGTCGGACCTCAACATGGAAGAAAAGGAAAAACTACCATTACTATCCTACAAACCAATGACAAAAAGCAGTAAGACCTCTTACTTCACCACAAGAGCACAGGGTGAAGAGCCTCAAGCTCCAAACACACTGGTGCACTTGCTAAGTGCAGTACTGCATTATGCAGAGATACTAGCTCAGACCATCGCTGCACTAGCTTAAACAAAATACTGCATTAAGCTCTCCCATTAGTTAACTTAGCACAGAGCTGCCTTTCTGATTGTTTCCAGTTTCAGAGCTTGCTCACTTACAACTAACTGACTTATCTTTGCAGCACCTGGTACAGAATAACAAAGCTGGACTGAAAGCCCTGCAGAAAAAAAAAAATCATTAAATATCAGAATTCACTTCAATCAACTCTCCATGAACACTGATTTATTTCACCTTCTCTCTCAAAAATTGAGTCTAAACCAAAATTAGAATACATGCTGTCTGTAGTCGCTGTTAAGGTAACTCATCTGATTCTAAGGCTGATATCAGTGATCTACCTTAGACTCAGGGATTTTAACAGATGCTTAAAGATATTCCAGACACCATGCAATGGAGCCGAGTATCTGTCTTGCCTGAAGATGTTTGCTTTGCTGAACTATTCCTTTTGTAGCAATCATTAGCTGAAGCTAGAGCACAATGCTGCTGCTGGCTCATCACCCTCAAGACACTATATAAACATTAGTTTGGCAGTTTGATTTATTCTAACTTCATTTGTTGCAGCTGTTTTGATGACCCAAGTTCGTCTAAAATACAGAAGGGAGACAGATAGTCTTACAATGTTTGCATGTTCAGTTGTCACTCAAATCCTAGGTACCTACAAGGTCCTGCATTAATGCACAAGATAACAAACTGGAAACAACACAAAAAAACTGATTTTCTGTATTATTGACTTAATTCATTACTTGGAAGTAGCTTTGTCTGGATCATACAAGCCTGCAAACATTACTCTCTGAAATGGCCCTGTGCCTCCACCTGAAAAAACCACAAATCTTAATTTGAAAAAGAAGATCAAATAGTTAGAATTAAAATAAGATATTCTTCTGTTTTCTTGTTTTTCCTCCTTCATGCAAATTCTTTTCCATGAGCCTGTACAACTTCCTCATGCATGATTTTTTTACTTTAAGAACATTCAGTTTAACAGTATAAACATGACTCATGCTAGAAAGGAATGTATATATAGTTATATAACTTGCCTATTGCATGAGTATGTCCAGGTAGGATGCAATTTAGTTTATTTTCTCCCAGTTGCACTTGTTATAAAAGAGCAAACAAGTAGACTTAAAGTATTCAAGAGTAAGCTATATCGAGAGAGCTTAGTACCACATGCTTTCTCCATGTCAGTTTGTCTCTACTAGACCTTAAAGAATTATGTTTATTATGATAAGAATATTTTCTAACTTAGTCTTTTTCATACTGTTGGTCTTTCTCATGTTATTAATAAGATCTCAAACTAATTCATGTTTCCAAATGACACTCCCTACAACTATGTATCTCTCAAAAAAACCCACAAATCTGGAGGTTTCCTGTGGTCCCAGTCTCAGCTCCAAGTCTGCACAGAGGGATCAGACTCATTTTAATGAGAGCTGGACTGCAATAAGCAATCTGTCAAGTCACTTATAGCATGTCCAAGGAATCATCAGAAGGTCTTACGGTTCTCCTGCAACCTTCAGTATTTCAGGCTCCAGGCCAAGCACAGATAATAAGCACAGATGGTAGCAGAGAACTGCAGCCCAGTGTAACTGTGCTAATGAAGCCATGTACTTTCCACAAGAGCAAACACAACAGGGCACCGTTAGTACCTGGCAGAGAAAGGGAAATACCAGACTACACTAAGCAAAAGTAAGACTCCCATCTGTGCTTTCAAGACATAATAGTTTCCAAAAACGGAAATGATATGCAAAAGACAATCTAAGTAAACAACACTGATTCGTGCCCTGTTAGACCGAGACACAAGTCATCTTCCCTGAATCCTGTTAGGGAGTGATCTGCTGTGCAGAATCCAGAAACCTGGAAGGGAGGTGGTAAAAATCTGCCTTACGATAGCATTTCACTAAGACACTAGGTACTAGGAAACTTTTTGGCTGTAGTCTACCCAAGAGTCAAGCTGCTGGCTCTGGTTGCTTGTAGCAACAGAAGATGTGTTGGAAAGAAGGAGAAGAGTCACTTTCTGGATGCCAAGATGGTGCAGGATGCTTCTGGTCCTCAGTGATCTTCTAGGACAAAAAAAAAAAAAGGCACTAAGCCTTTCTGATCCCCCTGCATCATGGTCATCACATGCACCCCTGGCTCCGAGACTCTTTTGTAAAGCAGTTCTGTGATGATTCATAACTCAGTGCTCACAGAAATGTAACAACATGTGGCAACATAGATCCAGCATCCTTGCCTCAAAATGGAGATTCAGGATGATGGCAGCAGCGGTAGCAAAAGCAAATTACTCTCAAGAGTAATTGGGATGGGAATGAAAAAGCAAAACAAGCAAGCAAGCTTTACATTTGTACTCTGGCACCAGCCAATATATCACTGCCAAGCTGATGAGGTACCAAGGTGTTACTCGTGTTACTCTTGCTATACCATCCCTGAAAATCTTTACTGTGAAGATGAGTCATATCTTCTGGTAAGTCTGCAATAACTCTTACCTTTGAATGCTCTGAAAGAAAGTCTGGGAGGAGGTAAACCTGTGCAAGAAGCTCTATGTAGTCACAGCAACGGAAATAATATATGTGAGAAAGGATACTTTCAAGAGAGAAAGTCTCCAAAGCTTTCAGATGATCTGCGAACAAATAAATAGATGAGTAAATGAGTCAGAAGTCTGTACTAGCGTACTGCTACTTTCATCATTCTACCAAACTAAGTCTTCCACATATAGCAACAGCAAAGCCCCCAGAAACAAAAACAGTCAAGGTAAAGAGTGAAAGAAACATACATTCCATCTGGCTTGAAAGTCAAGAACGTGGTGAGCAGATGCTATCTCAGCATTTGCATGTAGATACACTGGAGCCTCCAAGGGAGTGCTCTAAAAATGAAAAATTTATTTCTGAATAAGGAACTTTTCCAGTAAATCATTTTCAAGCCAGAACACCACCAGAGGACAACCATGACTATTAATCATCCATTATGTACAGGCAGTAGCTCATTTCATATGGTGTCCTTTCACCTCTGTTCAAACAGAAGTTTACTGCATAAAATACTCTAAAGAGTATCACAAAAGTTGTGCCCGTATCCCCAACACACTGATGACTTATAGAATAAAACTCGTCATTAAATGCAAACTGGCTATATTGACCTTATGAAGGAGCTGAATTCCAGCTACCGTTTTACAAGATGAGGCTTCAGCAGCAACACTCCCTTAAGAAATTCTGCCATTTCTCTTTCTCTTTTCCCTATTTCCTGTCCCTGCGTTGCAGCACATTATCCCTCAGTTTTGCTGACAGAATTGTGTTTAGGTTTTGCTGACAGAATTGTGTTTAGGTTTTGCTGTAAATTAATCATTAAAGTGATGTTTAAAAAAAAAAAACAAAAACCAAAAAAGAAAAAAAAAAACACCACCTCATATAACTGAAAAAACCACCAACCATCATGCAGAAAGAGAATTACTCTTGAAGTAGATCAGCTCAGCCTGCAGCACGGTCACAGATGCAGTATGTATGATACACACAGGTGGGACTGAAAGGCCGGCAGCGACAACTCCTGAAGCCAGCACTGCTGCTGAAACCCTCAAACTGTAAAACTGCAGCCTACGAGACACTCGTTTCCCTGGGATCCCAGTTTCCTAGGCAGAAAAAACGACTCAGCGACGTACCTTCTTCTTGATGAGCTTCAGCGATAAGCCGGCAGTGCTGCACGCAGGCAGATGCAATATCCACTACTCTCTCTACCATAAAACTTCCTTCAGTATCAATGAACACAGCTTCTCCAGCTACACCCCCAAAGCATTCCGGGATCTGTACATCTACTGCCAACTGCATACTGCCATGGGAAACAGAAAAGAAGATAAATGTTTACACCACAAAGCTCTCCCCTCCCAACTCACTCCTAAAGTGACATTTCTGCTGAGTAACACATGGAACAGGAAGCAGTACAGCCATCATCATGATCACATTTTAAATGCTGTAGAAGAATCAGAGATTGCTGTCCTGACAACAAGAAAAATGACCTCTCTTCACTAAACAAAGTGATTGTCAGTCGCATAAAAGTAATCAAAAAATAAAATACCATAGCTGTGTTTTCCCAACGCCAGGCGCTCCACAGATCTCGGTGATTTTTGTTAGTTGCACACCACCTCCCAGAATATTGTCTAGTGCTGAACAGAAGGTGATGATGAAGCCCTGGGCTTGCTCTTCCTCCAGAAGTTCCAGCGCTGTGCACTTTCTGGTGGCACCTGATCCCCCGGCAGCCCTTCCTGTGTCCCCATGACATTCCTGCCTCACAATCTGTAACGCTTCCAGTACCTCTTCTTTGGAGATTCCAATTTCTAGAAAAGTCAAAACCATGAATCACTACGTTATTTTTAGAAACAGTGATTTATTTGAAGTATGAAGAGGTAATTCAACTCGTTTGACAGAACCTGGCCATCCTGCGCTGTGACGCAGAAACATTAATCCTTTTAGTGTAACGATGCTCACAGCTTGCCAACATCTCTGGAACTAAGGACTTGATTTTCAGAAGAACTCAGAGCAACAATGCCCTGAGTTTAGAATTCAGGTGACAGTAAGCTATCTACAAATAAAAAAAATAAAAATAAAATCAGAACTGCTGTTCATAAACATGGATGAGATCTGCCAGAGCAATCCCCTGTTCTGCACTAAATGTGCTCCCATATTAACTTCATTTCAAGTAAATAAGGTCCTGTAAAAGAAGTCAGCGACACTGACTGACCACACTCTGAATTCTCAGGGTACTCCAGGGCTGAGCACCTCACACATCACTTCCAGATGTGAAACACAGAGCTAGGAACAGAGAGGAGACCCCTGCAAACATCTCTGTGTGTCCATACACACAGCTCTGCTGTGATCTAGCTACTTCACTCTGATCTTCAAGGCAAAACTCTTACTACGTATTAGCACAGATAATAAAACTGCTGATAATCAAAGTCATGACACACTTCCTAGAATGTCTGTGCAAATTTTATTCTAGCTTCCTGGAAAACACAACTTTCTGATTACATACAAGTTTATTTTGTTTAAAGCATGCAGAGTTGGGGAAAGAAGAAGCATGACAGACAGAATCCTCTGGTTGTCCTTTTTCTGTATCCTGATTGCATCTCAGTGTAAGAAGGAGCTGTTATCACAATTTGGTTTTTTCGCTTAGGCACATGTGAAAGTCACTAAATATTGGCTCTGCCCCCATCT